GACCGGAGGGGGAAGAGGGATGTCAAAGAGAGTTTTTTTACTTCTAGCACTGCAACTATGCCGTTGTGGAGCAGGGAGAGAGGCGGGAGGGGGGAAAGATCCATCGTCCCTCCCTCCCTCCCTCCCTCCCATGCCACCAGGATCCGCCGGTGAAGCCTTGAGAAGTTCGGTTGTAGGGTCCCGCATTTCGGATTGGTCAGTAATTCGGTGGAAGGTTAGCCAGAAGTTGGGGAAGGATCAAGGTTGTTTTGCCACATAGAGGGGGCAGTAAGGATAAACTGAAGAAAATGAAAGCCGGATCTCCTTGCTATCGTTTGGTTCCCGGCTATTCTGGACCAGTTCTAAGCGAATAACGAGACTGTTTGATGAAGAGCAGCCGAGAAAACAAGCTGGATTCCGAAGTAAGTACTACACAGCGGCCTATAATTACAACCTGATCCAGGTCCTAGGATGGATAAGGAAGTACCACTTTCCCAAATGTTTTTTTAATCGGTCATGAATAAGCCTTTAATATCGATTACGGTTACTGCAAAACGTGCTCGTGTGCTTCCCAAAGGATTGGTTGGAGCTGTGTTAACTTCGTTCAGGAGTACAACGCAGGCTGTTCGATAGACACAACACTTTCCTTCGCTTCAATCCCTGAATCGATCGGTAATGTCCTGAGGCGAAAGCATTCCATAACGCTCAAGCTTTTCACTACTCCCTCAAGGTGGTACTTTCGGGAGCTGAATTGGAAAGGTGGTCTGGAAATTAGTGACGAATTTCTAAACCATCTAACGGCTTTGCGGTCGGCATAATTCTTGTCCCGAGCAGCTCTCGTGAGATAAGATGCCGTAGGAAATTAGTGCGCGGTCGTACGGGCCAGGAAATTAACGACATTGAAGATGATGCAAAGTGCCAGTATGCTCACGGCCAAATTACACATGGACAATGGCTTGATTTGAAAGAACTTAACAGACCACGAAGTAAATGTGCATCACAACTTCTGGCTAAAAACTGCTAACAAGTGATTTGCAGATTGTTACCGATTTGACAGCACTGTCGAGATCATAAATGTGTCAAATCAGAACACTGTTGACCTCTTCCATAGCACAAAACTGAAGGAAATGGCGTACGGATGCGTAAAGTAGTCAGTGAAGAAACTGCAATCGAACGAGTTCTAGTACCGATTTGACAGCACTGTCAAGGTCATGAATTTGTCAAATCAGAACACTGTTGACCTCTTCCACAGCACTATATTGAAGGAAATGACGTACGGATGCGCAACGTGGTTAATGAGCAAAGGTAAAGAATGAGTGCTAGTTGTGACGGAGAAAGCAATGGAGCAAATAATAAGACGAAGGATGTGTTTGACGCATTTCTTTGTGACTATACAAACAATTAGATTCCTGTCGAACGAGCGGTATGCAGGATATCATTACGACCATACGAGAAAGTAAAATCCGACAGACAGGCCCTTTAGTCTCCAAAGTGCAGCGCAGTCTGCTACAAAACCCAAAAAGATGTGATTTTGTTGCGCTCAATTCGGCCTTTTAAATGCTTTTGCCTTAGGTGCATCAGTATCTCAGACTTGCCCATTTGCTTTAAAACACTTTATTATAAGAAAAACTTTCCCTAAAAACGACCTATTCCCAAGATACTTGATAGATCAGACACTCAGGAACCGGAGGAGTTAAACCTGCCAGTGTTATTGCAATGCAGATCTGAAGTGCCAAGCAATAATATGGAAAAATTTTTAATTTCCAATATGTTGAATTTAACAAAAAACAACAGTTCAAGCAATCGATCCTGCATTTGAGGCAATCCTCGGCCAGAGATCGGCACATTCCTTGGCCACTGGCCCTGTGATTGCCGAACCTTTCATTTCTCCTTTGTTGTTCACGATAACGCCAGCATTATCCTCGAAGTATATAAATGAGCCATCTTTTCGTCGATAGTGCTTCCGCTGTCTTATTACCACTGCTTGCAAAACTGAAAAAATTTACTGATGTCTGAGCATCTGAAGATTCGAAACGCAGAAAAAAGCATCTACCAAACAAGCCGCAAAAAAGCAAAAATCCAACCGAATTCATTACAAGTTCAAGAATTTGTTTCCAGTAAAATAACTTCAATTGCTAATTGTTACACAGTTTAAAAAAATTTACTTTCTGGACGAAAATTTAATCACAGGTGTTTGCAAAAATGTCGTATAAACGGAAGTAAAACGTATTCATAAAAGTAAAAAAATCGCATAAACGGAAGTGTACTTTAGACTTTAACTACATCCTTATACTGTCAGGGACTACATCAGAAATATATATATACACACACACATAAACACACATACATACACACACATACACACACACACACCTAGTTCGCAGGAAAAAACTGCAAAAAAGTGCGCAGGCTCGAAGCCGGATCTGAATTACATGCTCAAACTTAATTGAAATTAACTAAGAAAGAAAAAAAAAAAATGTAAGGTTTCTCCCTCCATTCCTCTTCAAAAAAAAGCTGCATGTGCGGGAAAAAATGTGTAAAAAAAAGCTGAAAATGAATGAAATACGCAGCGCGGAACTACACGAAAGTACCCGAAGCAAAGGCCGACGCTATGCCAGACCACACAGGCACTCATGAAAAGATGGGCAATAAGGCGGTTGAAGAAGAAGGAAAGGTAAGCCATATTATGTATAAGGATAATTCCTTTTTAATACACGGAAGGGCTGATTTTTAAAAAAATAAAAGACAATTATCCGTAATTCCGTTGCTGAGGAATTGAAGAAGCCTCAGACAGCCAAGGCTTTCATCATCAAATTCATCTGCTGTACATGCGAAACCTCGGAGAATCCTCATCGGCTTCCTCCGTTGCTTTTGATATTCAGAAAAATCGAACTTATGCGTATCAGGTAGCGAAATAGCCACTAACCACTACACCAACGAAGACATGAAATATCACTCGAGGGCTTAATTTAAGATCTTCGAAGACTTGGTCAATTCTTTTTGCGATTTTTACCATATCTTCACAGATTATCTGATAGACCACATGCAACGATTTATATGAGATCCGATTTTTGATCACTTATGCAAAGAAAAATCGCTTCATCTAGCAAATTTTGCCTTTCATGAGAATAATTTGGCTGGTGGGGAGCTTGAATTTTTTATTTGACCATGAAAAGTTATTTCCTGCACTATTCGTTCTCTCTTGCGGATACTTTTCACGCAAACTTATCTCATTGTCCATGCCCTGCAACATGCTAGTATTCGCAGCTTCACAACAATCGATCATTAAATGGAACTATCACAAGTACAAGTATCACAAACATCATATCGCCCACATTTGTTCTATAGTCCAGAAAAAAACATTCCAGGAAAAATAACTGGTCAACGCACGGGCTGCCCGTGCGAAAATGCGATTTTTGCATGGTTTCCCGCAGATTTCTGTCGCAAACGGCACTGTTTTTTCCGGCAGATGCTTCTAGCTAAAAGAATTTCAGACTGGCAGTCAGGACTGTCGGAGGACGTCCCTTCAAAATTCCAGTCTTCTTGCTTTTCTGGTTCCCGAGTTAGTAATTTACACGAAAAAATATTTCACGGGCCCAAACGTGGGAATGACTCATACCCGTGGGCTTGGTTTGAGTTCATTAATACCTACGTTTTCCTGGATTTACCAAAATATAAACCCTACATATGCTATTCACTGTAATATGGAGGTCGTTTTCCCCTTCTCACATCACCGTGAAAGTCCCGCGTGGACTTCTTGCTGGTCATGTAGCAAAGCAAGGGAAATGCCATTTGTTTTTACTGATCAATCCCCTTCCCACTTCCCTACAAACAGACCCGGAAGCGCAGTTTCTTTGGAATTAAAGATATACGGGATGCGCTACTTCTCGCTGATCTATTTCGCTGCCCCGGTAGTTTCCCACGGTTTCAGTTTAAGGCTCAAAGCTCGTGGTTGGATTCTGCCAGCAGAAAACCCAGTCATTCTACCATCCTCTGTTCACGGAATGGTACACAAGACAAATGTCGGGAAGTCAGAGCCACTAACGCTCAGTTATAAGCGGTCCTTGGAAAAGAAGGAATCGAAAAACTTCGAAAAAATCTAGTG